TTCCACTAATGACACAAACATGATTCAAATCCCTGAAGTATTCATTATAGTCAAGGGCATATCCTATGACAAACTTGTCTGGAATTTCAAATCCAACAAAGTCTGGTCTATATCCAACACTTCGAGGGGTCCTTTTCACCAGCAAGCTTGCGACCTTGACCATCTTTGGATTATGCTGCTTGACCAAGGACAGCAAGGTCTGCATTGTTTTGCCAGTGTCAATTATATCTTCAACAATCAAGACATTCTTTCCAGTTAAAGCTGAGAGATCATCTCCACCAATCACTTTTATATCGCCTGTTGACTGGTCATTACAGTAGCTCTTCAGTCTGATAAAATCTACAGTCATAGGAATGGATCTATCACTATTTCTGTTCAGTGCTTTGATGTAATCCAGCAGGTCAGCAAAGAATTTATAGCCCCCCTTGAGGACACAGAGGGCCACAATGTGATGGCCTCCCATCTCCTTCATCACGTCTCGAGCAAGCCGTTCGGTCCTGTCCATAATTAGTCCATGAGGAATAAACACCTTTTCCAAATCCTCAGCATAATGATAAGGTATACAAAATAAATCTAGGTCATAACCTGGTTCATCATCACTAATCACGATGCTGGGGCTGCGGGTCGCCATAACGGAGCCGGCTGGCGCGGGCTGAGTGCAGTCTGGGGAGGAGGAAGCCGGCCTAGAGATGCAAATTCTTGAGCTCTACCCTAGACCAATGAAATCTGAATCAAATTGCTGGGGGATAGGATGGCAGTGGAGCCCAGGATTCTGCATTTTAACAAACTCTCTGGGTAATTTCTATGCAGCTGAAATTTCAGAAGCACAAGCCTAGAGAAACTTTGTAGAGGATCATAGTTTGGGCAGGCAGAATTTGGAAGACTGTTTGCAGTCATCCAGATAGGAAGCTGATATCCAGAGTTGATGCCGTGGTTCACAGTTCAGGAACACAGGAAGAGGAGCAGGTTTAGGGTAAAGAGGATATTAACACTTTGAGAATGTTGAGTTTGAGATATCTATATGAAGACATCCAGGAGGCTGTTTGATGCCAGAGTCTTGAGCTCAGGAGGGAAGCCAGGCTGGAGACAGATTCAAGGTCATGAGAATAACCTGCTGTGATTGAAGCATCTGACACAGGTGAGATTGCTCAGAGATGAGAAAGAGGAGAGGAGAGGGCTGAGGATCCAGCTTGAGGACCTCCAACACTTCAGGGTGGAAGAGGAGTGTCTAGCAGTGTTGGAGAAAACCCAGAGAAAGGTAAAGATGCCAAGAATAGAGTGTTTCAAGAAGATAGGGGATAGCCAACATCGCCCAATATTGCTGACAGGTGGTGTAAAATGAGGCTTAAGAAGTGAGTGCTGGATGAATGGACACGGAGGCCTTTGGTGGCTGAGGTAGACCCTAAGAGTGTACACCAGATGCCAAGTTTGCCTCTTCTTCCTGAGTTAGACCACATGTCCCAGCCTCCCTTACTTGTAGGTGAGGCTATGTGGCCGAATTCTAGCCAAGAATGTGGGTGGTGGTGACATGCTCCATTTCCAGACCTGAACCATCAACTCCTCCTATATGATCTTCTGTGGAGGGGGTTCCAAGCACCCAGAGGAGAGTGTAGGCAGATAGGGTGGGTGTCCCTGAAGGAAAAGAGCCAGCCTTGGCTTCTTTCTCTCTTTCTCTTTTTTTTTGGGGGCGGATATAAAAGAAGCCATTTTGGCCTAAGCCATTTTGTGATCTAAGCCTGGCTTGCCCTTGATCACATCTTGGTGATCAATGATCTTAAGGGAACAAAGGATGCAGGAACAAAGAAGAAGTAGTCAAGCTATAGTGCGGTGATAAAGCAGAGTCCTCGTTCCTCCTCAAGGGAAATGCATAGTGATATATCTTTGAGTTTAGCAGGAACCATGGTGGCGGATGGACTGATGATGACCCTCAGACTTCAATCAATTAAGACTTGGACTCTGTTGACCTTTGTCCTAATTCTGTGCTGAATTCTCCTCTGCTCCAGCCCTTTCATGAGTATGCATGTCCTCCTAGCTTAAAAGTTCCCCAGTTTTGCTGTTCTGGGAGACACTGCTCTGGGAGGGATCCCCGGTGTCCTCCTTACTCGCTGCAATTAATAACAAACCCTTCTCCTGATCTTTGGCTTGATTGTTTCTATCAGCTCAATACCTATCAAGAGGCAAATCCAGCTTTCAAGTAAC